TGGATTGAGGTTAGTGATAAGTTCAATGACTCATCTTAAGTTACTTATAAGGGTGAATATAAAAAGGGTAGAAAAATTGGTAGATGGGATATTTATTTCAGTCATAAAGGAGTAAATAAATAGATGTATAATTATATTATTTATTATTAAAAACATATTCTATAGTGGTGGTGGAGAATATGATGAAAGAGATGAGGGAATTAAAACTGGAAAATGGATAGAAATGAGCGAAGGGTTTTATGAGTCATAATAAGTAATGTTTATAGGCGATTATAAAAATGGCAATAAAGTTGATAAATGGGATATTTATTTCAACAATAAAGGATAAAATGAAAAGATGTAGAATATCATTAATATTATATGAAAAATTGTAGTGGTGGAGGATAATATGATGAAGGTGGTGAAGGGACTAAAATTGGAAGATGGATTGAAATAAGTGATGACTTCGATGACTCTTCTTAAGTTACTTATAATGGTGAATATAAAAAGGGTAGAAAAATAGGTAGATGGGATATTCATTTCAAAATTACAGGAAGGAATGAGCAGATGTAAAATTATACTTAAATATTATTTAAAAATCTATTAGACGTGGACAATAAAATAACGAAGGAAGCGATAGAACAAAGATTGCGAGAAAAAGTAAGACTAAGTGATAGTTTTTTTAAGTAATTTCAGATAAAAATAGTAAAAAAGCTGAAAAATAGGACATCCCAGATATAAAAGTAGGAAATGAGTAGATGTAAAAATATATATGTTAAATTTATCAAAAATGATGTAGAGGTGGATCCTATGATGAAAGAGGTGAAGAGTTGAAGATTGGGAAATGGGTAGAGTTGAGTGATTCTAATTCATAAATAACTTAAATAGGCGAATACAAAAAAGGTTAAAAAGTTGGTAGATGGGATATTTATTTTAATAATGGAGTAAATAATAGGATGTAAAATTATTAAATTAAAAATGATTTATAAATGATTCAGTGGTGGTGGATTATATGAAGATGGTGAATACGGTTTAAAGATTGGTAAATGGATTGAGTTGAGTGAAATTAATACATAATTAACTTACATTGGTGAATATAAAAAAGGGTAAAAAGTTGGTAGATGGGATACTTATTTCAATTATTTCGGAAATAAGTAGATGTAAATATCAATTATGTGAACTAGGTAGTGGTGGAGGATTATATGATGAAGAAGGGGAAGGAATTAAGATTGGAAGATGGATTGAAGTGAATGATGAATTTTTTGATTCATCCTAAGTAACGCTTCATGGTGAATATAAAAATGGGTAAAAAGTTGGCAGATGGGATATTTATTTCAATTATGGAGTAAATAAAAAGATGTAAAATAATAATTAATTATATAATTGTTTTAGTGGCGGTGGTTCATATGATTAAGTTAGTGTTGGGATCAAAATTGGGAAATGGATTGAGATAAAGGATAATTTTAAATGGGCTTTATAAACTACTTTAAATGGAGAGTATGAAAATGGTAAGAAAATTGGGACATGGATAGAAATGCAGGGAAATATAAAAAGTAAAGAAATAATCTTTGAACATTGAATATATATTATAATATAAGATTAAATGTGATATGTTATCAATATTTTTTTTGAAAATGAATGTATCATTCATCAAATAAATTTAATTTCCAATAATAATACATAAATATAGTTTGTGAATGAAAAATAATTTTTATGAAGAATTAAATTTAAATATCTACATTCAATAACATTAAAATTAACTAATGGTAGTGAAAATATTATTTGAAGTGGAAAGGTTTTAAAGAAGGTTAATATACTTTAATAAAGAGCTATGAAATTAAAATTGATGACAGCAAGTTGATATCAAAAAATATTGTATTTGACATAGGCCATGTTCCTATAAAATCCGTTCAATATTCAGTAGATAAATATAATCTTTAAATTGAGAGGAATTTGTCAATACCCTCGAAACAGCAATTTATTATTAAAAATTTTTCTTAATATTCTTTATTGTATAAATATTGACATCGAAAAAGAAACCAAATAAGTTAATCACATTATTTTTTTTTAAAAAGAATTTGAGTCACTATAAAGAATGATAACCTAATAATGTATTCAAACGAGAGCCATATTTTGAGAAAGTAAGAAGATCAATTTAAAGTTTAGAGTAAATCTTTAGGACTATTAAAATAATCTTGATTAATTTTTAGAATATGGAATAAATCTATATTTAGAATAAATAAAATGGATATATATAGTATAACATTAGAAAAAATAGTATCCTACAACAATGGAGTAAAGTAAATTTTATGGAACAAATTTTTAAGAATTATTTGAAAAATCTTTAAGCTTTAATATATAATATTAGAAATAGTTTGATGAATAATTCTAAGGGAAATGGATTATATTATAAAAAAATTACGCAATATTTTTTGTAGATTAATCAGAAATGCAGGATCATATGATGAGGGATTAATAATGATTTAAGTGGGAGAAAACATGGTCAACAGTCATTTTAACTCAAACTCCTTCATGAAAATACTAATTGGATTGACAAGAACAAAACATTTTTTGTGTGTATCTCAAAAAAATCCTACCAAAAAATACTAGAAATAGTTATATATTATAGTATCTTCTAATAAAAAAAGAAAAAGCAGAATATTTCTTCTCAAAAATTCTTTAAGAATATAAGGCAGTTTAAATCTAGAAATGATTCGAATCATTTTTAGATTAAATACTTATATTAAATTCCTAAATACACAAAACCAAGTTAATGCCGATGAAATCTCTATTACTAACTCCTTAATCTTCAAATTTAATTCTAAAAAAATTAAATTTGGAAAACAAGAATAAATTTATTAAACAATATTAAATTAAAACAACTTATAATAAAATCCTCAAGAAAATGGAGTAATAAATTTGGAATTCCAGAAAAAAAATTCAAATTTAATGAATTTAAAGATTAGCTAGCATCTTAGGGGAATACAATTGACTGAAAATATTAATAAAAAACTTTGATAAAAAAAAGAGATATAATACTTTTTTCTGTAATAAAAAGAATTTCAGATTAAGTAACAATAATTTTGTGAATTTTATAAAGTTATTTTGAAAAGTAACTGATTAGGATAATCCTGAAAAATCCAAAACTTTGAATCAATAGTCACTTAATGAAAATACTTCTAAAATTTT